TATGGTTACTAGAAGATTTAAAATCATGTATTTGCCTTACATTATACCAGACAGCTCTGTTTTAAATAACAAGGTTCCCGAGGGATGAAAATGTAATCTGATTTGCAGAAAAAAATTTCATTTACCAGCAAGCCTCCTCCCTTCAAATCTTTATCAGTGGGTAAAGAACAGGAGGCAGAGGAGGCAAAGCTGAGAGGGACTTGGAAAATACGGTCCTTTTAGGTGGATAAGTCAGCCCAAGGCCCCAGGCTGAAATGCTATGGGCCTGTGGGCAGGCTGAACTGTGGTTAGGAATGCCCGCTCTGTCTCCTTGCCCAGGGCTGCTGCTCCCCACCTGAGGCCTGAAGGCTAGATTAGGTGCAAGGAGAGTAAGACTAGGGACATATCTGAGTTCTAAGAGGTTTCTGGGCCTGCACAAGGCAGTGCTCATTGCTAATCCCACACACAATGACACATGTCCCCACAAAAGACACCGAGACACACTCACATCCTAACACGGCTTCCCTCAAATACCCAGCCACCCACAGTTACACCTACACCCACCTGTAGCAGCGCTACAACTGCCTGGCCCTCGGCCTGCTCTTCCCCACTAGGCCCGAGGCCACGTGTCTGGGTCCTCCTTTAGGCACCAACCCCCTCCCCTGTCTCCAGGGTACCTTCTCCCCTTAGCCCAGCTTTGGCCTCTGCACCCGATGCCCACCTGGCAGCGGCAATCTCCTGGCGCTGGCGGGCAGCACTCACTGCTCGACGGGCGCCCTCGACGGCCCGGTCCACCTTCTCCTTGACTTTGCCCCGCCGAAGGGCCAGAGGCAGGAGGCTGCGCACGCGCCCCCCGTGCACCAGCCTGTTGCGCTTGTACTTGCCCTCTTCACGCGAGCCGTCGGGGCGGGTGGTGCGCCCGTAGCCGTGCCGCCGGTTGCCCAGCCACTCGCCCTCGTAGCGAAGCCCGTTGGAGCGCTGGCTCACGCCGTAGCCGCTGCGACGGTCCGCGCGCCATTCGCCCGCATACACCTCGGTGGCCGAGCCCTCGATGAGGGCGGGCGGCGCGGGGGCCAGGGACCCGCTGGCCTCAGAGCCGGGGGGCCCTGTACTGCCCACCTCGCTGCTCACCTCGCTACGCAGGGACCCTCGCTTGCTGCCCAAGGAGCTGCGGCGCCCGCCCGCGCGGAGCCCGCTAAGCAGCAGCGAGCGGCGGAAGAAGCCGCCGGCCACGGGGGTGCGCTTGCGGGAGGACGCGCGGTCAGCGTCCCCCGGCCCGGCTAGCACGAAGCCGCCCCGAGAGCCGGAGGCCGGGCTGCCTCCCTCGTCGCCGAGCAGGGGCAGGGGCGGGGGCGGCGTCGGGGGGTCGCTGTGGCCGGAGTCCAGAGAGGTGCGGCGGGGTGAGCGCAGCAGCGCCGCCTGATGGTAGGGTACGCTCTGGCGCACCCCGTAGCCGTGGCGCTTCCCGGCCTGCCACTGGCCCTGGTAGGTGCCTGCGGGCGGGGCAGGAGGGGGAGAAAGAATCAGGACCTGCTGCTCCTTGGACCCCAGGCCCCCAGCACCCCCGGAAGCCTTAGCGTGGAAGTCGGGGAAGGGCATAGGGCTGGGGACAGGCCAGGCTGGGTCGGAAGGTGTGGGAAAGCCACAAGCAGCAGAGGTGTGAATCTGGGCAGTGTAGGTAGACGAGGGAAAGGGAGAGGCGCAGGCAGGCTGTGGTGTGTGGAGGACAGACAGTCCGGAGGGTGTAAGGGACAGGCTGACGGAGTGTATGAGGCCGCCATGTGACAAGCAAACAGGCCGAGGAGGGGCAAGCCGAGCGAGGAAATGCGAGGGGACAGGCCGAGCAGAGGTGTTAGGGACAGGTAGGTGGAGAGGGGAGGTGTGGGACCGGCAGAGAGGAGGGTCAGGGGCTGGCAGGTGGGGTGTGTGAGGGTCGAGTAGACGGAGGGGGCGGGAGAGCGAGAAT